ATATATAATTGATATAATATTGAGAAACCCTGGTAAAAATTCATTTTAATCGCAATTTCACTATAAATTTTTTGTTATAACACAAAAACTTCTTCCACTTCAGAGTGAATATGTGAGATTCACCTAAATGAGATGATCTAAGAGTCAGTACTGAGACCCTTTACTGCAGTGAAAGTCTCCAAGTGGCCAGTCTCCCAGCCAAACAAAAGGCTAAACTGTTGGGAACCACTGGTGGTTTGATCTGGTTTACCCTGAAAATCTCATTACAATGGAGTAAAGTGTAGTAAAGTATAAGCATAAAGACAAAAGTAAAGTATCTCACAACTGTTAAAGTGATAGTTGAGTATATGTGACGTGGGGTTGTTTGAGGTACTGATATATAGTCAGTGTTTTATCTGCAGGGGATTCAGATCAGCTCCCAGTTTAGAGAAGCAATAAATATCAGTTGAAGGGTTACTTTATTTTGAAATTTTTCACCCCTTTCACCTATCAAACAGACCTTAACTTTGGAATTTTTTCAACCGTTGAACTATCGTATTCCTACGCACAAGTGCACCTACTCTTAGATCTGTCTGACTCAAACAGCTGATCTGCAGAATAATACAGTGTGCGCTGTAGAAATATGGTAGTTCAACATGTCGCAAAATATAGTTCCAAAGTAACGTCTGTTTGAAGGCAGATAAAATGGTGAAAACATTCAAAATAAAGCAGCACTTGAACTGATATTAGTTTTTTTTCTGTGTATATTTTTTAAAATGTCTAAAACATGTTTCTCTGAATCTACCGCAGGTAACACACTGACAATAGATCAGTAACTCATACAACCCCACGTCTAATAAACTCAACTGCCACTTTAAGTAGTTGGTTACCTTCCACCAGTGGATCTGAAGTTGCTACTATGATAAATAAATAAATAAATCTTCCAGAGGAAATGAGGAACACATCTGGTCACATCAGTAAAGTTCAAAATCACTTAAAGTCCAATCGATACGGAAACATCCTCAACATAAACAGAGCAGAAAATGGAATGGACTCTACTTTAGGCGCCACCAGCCAGAGCAACAGATACATGGATAGTCAAAATGGCCTATCTAATTAGTTCAAAACCCTGATGCATTTACATGGTGCAAGGAAAGCATGTTGTCAGATTGTCTTTAAACAGTTTGAACCTCTGGAAGGCAATAGATGCAAAAAAAAAAGCTGAGAGAGAAGGAGAAAGAGAAAGAAAAAGAGTTCTGAGCAGATGATAAAAAGAGTGAAAAGGAAAACAGAAGCTGGAGACGGGAGCAGAGCGAGCCATGGTGGAGGATGGAAAAAAAGCACGTAAGGAGATTCCTGTGGGACGCCGAGATGCTGCTGCTATTCCTGTCCGGGACAGGGAGAGGACACAAGTGTCTGATTGAGGATCTGTGGACGGGGTGGAGGGCTGTGTGGTGGTGGTTACAGGCTGGGGACAGGCTGCCAGTGCAAGGCAACAGCAACACACCACAAGCATCTTCACTGCTTGTTTACTGTGAACATCCCTGTGACAGCAGCAGCAGCTACACCTCCACACAGTAACAGCTTTGATCTAGAAAACCTTCAGACCATGGAGGAGAGGGTGGACTCATACTGCTCCGTACAGCTCAGCTAATGATAGAAAAGAAATATTTATTTATTTATTGAACTGGAGTCACACAAATACACAGTTTTAGCTTCTTTTTTCTTTTTAAAGAAGAAGGAAATATCATTTTTTATGGCTGGAGAGTGGAAATTAGTCCATGAAACTTTTTCCATTTGACTTCCCATTTACTTTTCCATATAAACTCTGATTCTTGGTCTCTTTCAGTTTGTTTCCTCCATTGTGAGCTATGGCAGAGCAGAGAGAGAGGAAAAGCGAAAGATATTCATGTACTGGTTTCTGGGGTTTCCAGTGGGCAAACACTCATCTATTTCTGTCTCTTTCACTTCTTTCTCTGAGCATCTCCACAGAGAATCCTCTAACGTCCTGACGCTGGCTTTTAACACGCCTTCACACTGACCACATGACTGTGAGCGCTCAGAGGATAGAGGGGAGGTCACACTGCTGCTGCCTCTTCCTCTATTTGATGTCCCTCCTCCCCCTCGGTCCTCATCCCCCCGTGCCACATTCCTCCAGTGTCTTGTTTTTGTGCCATTACAAAGATGACAGATGACTGTCCTCTCATGTCTTTGAACTTGAGTGCCACACTGTCTCCATTCACAGCTGCATGCAAGCGAGTATTGTACTTAGAGAATGTGTGTGTGAGTGGAGGGAAGGAGAAAGCAACGCCTCCTCACCTCAGAATCACAGCTCCCTCAGCGCCCCATGTAAAGCCCATAAATTAAACGCGACAGGCATGATGGGTCAGGGATGCCGGGAGAGAGGGCTCAAAAAATATGAAGAAATCAGACCGGATCACAGATGTGACAGGTCAAAGGTCACAACCCGTGTCTATCAGTATGGGTGTGGAGGGCAGCAGGCCAAGTCACTGTTCTGATCTCTCTGACAGGCTCACACACCAGTAAGAGAAGGAAGTGACTTCAGGAGTCGACAGTAAAGAGCGACCCGTAAGTGAGAGATCCATTTCAAAATGAGAATAAAGTACAAGTGAAAATATTCAATTAGGGCCTCAAGACAAGACATGTTGTTCAAACTGACTGATATTTGATTCACTTACAGGCTTAGGTCAAACATGACGGTAATGTTTGGGATGATTTAACACAAATCCAATATATATGTGAGTATATACTGTATATGAGGAGAGGCTTGAAGAACAGGACAAAGCTGATAGACGAAGAGTCTACAGTCACATTAGATAACGATGAAATGCTGATGTTTAGCAGCTGTAATGTTTATCACATTCATCATCTTAGTTTCACAGAGTACAGCTCAGGCTGATGGGAATATTTCATTTTTGAAGGAAATTAGTCATAAATGACAAGATAGATAGATAGATAGATAGATAGATAGATAGATAGATAGATAGATAGATAGATAGATAATGGCTCCAGATGTGCAATCAGGAGAAACTATATCAGTGTGTTATGAATGTCTGCAGCAAAGTTCATCACAAGTCCTGACATTTAACTTAGGCACAAACCTCATGGTGACACTAGAGGAAAGTCAATAGGATTCATCATCCATGGATATGTGAACAGATATCACAGTGATCCATCCACTGATGTTGAGTAATTTCAGTCTGGACCAAAGTGCTGGACCAGCTGACACCCCCCACAGCCATGTTAGCACTGTGGCCAAAACCAGTTTTTGATTGGCCATATGCAAAGAAGTTTTCAGTCTACACATAAGCATATGGCCAATACTGTGGGGATGGGCCCAGGGGGCCAAGGGATCAGGGGGCCCCAAGGCTCTTTGACTACAAAAACCATAAAGAGGCATAAATATCCACATAGAGAGGCAAATGATGATAGACAAAACAAATATAAAAAGGCATGAAATGACTACAAAGAGACACTGAGTGTCTACCAAGAGACACAAAAGGCTACAAGGAAACACAAACTGGCCACAAAGAGGCACAACACCACTACAATGAGATGAAAAATGACCACAAATAGACATAAAATGATGACTAGAGACACAACATGAATACAAAGAAATGCAAAGCAGCTACCAAGAGACACTAAATGAATCACAGGGATCAGAAAAAGATGTCTGTGAATGGAATAGAAAAAGATGTATAACAACTACAAAAAGACACAAAATGACTAGAAAGAGAGGCAAAGAGACAGTCTACAAAGAGACAAAACAACTATGATGAGGCAACACAACTACAAAGAGATGCAATAAGCTACCAAGAAACACGAAAGCACTACAAGAAACACAAAACTACAGTGAGATGCAAACTGACTACAAAGAGACCTATAAGAATTACAGAAAGATGCAAAGAGATGCAAAACAACTAGAATGAGATGCAAAATGGCTACAAAGAGACATAACATTACCACAAAGAGACACATGGGGACTACAAAGAGATGCAAAACAGCTACCAAGGGACACAAATGCACTACAAGAAAGCACAAATGACTACAAAGAGAAGAAAAACAACTAGAGAGAGAGACACAAAGAGACACGCAAACTATGAAGAGACACAAAACAACTCCAAAGAAATGCAAACAAGCTACCAGATGGAATCACAAAATGAGCAGAAAGAGTTGTATTACAACTACAAAAAGACAGAAGAAATACAAAGAGATGCAAAGAGACACAGCTGATGAAGAGACAACACAACTACAAAGAGACACAAAACTGACTACAAACACAAAACAACAACAAAAGGATATACAAAGACTAGAAAGAAACACAAAGCAGCTACCAAGAGACACAAAGTGAGCACAGAGAGATGTAAAACAAGTGTTTCTTGTTTGTGTGTAGGAGGGCCGAGGAGCCTTTGACATGTCTGTGTTCTGCCCACTGACTTATAATGTCAGTCAGTGTGTCTGCCTGTGCTCATAGGCTCATGTTTACAGAAATACCATGTCTGAAAAAACACATTCAACAACCAGGACGTTCAGTACAATGAGACTAAACCTCTGCAAGTCATTCTACCACAGAGACCCATTCACCACAAACCTGGGACATTAAGACCACATAATGATCCCTGTGTTGTGATAAATACTGACCAATAAGCACCAAGAATCTTTTTATAAAACACCTGAAATAAAACATGTTCTCAGTCTGTCCAGTCTATCCAGTCTGTCTCAGTCTGTCTCCGTTTTTCTAGTTTGTCCCATCCTCTCAGTCTGTCCCAGTCTGTCTCTATCTGTCCCCTTCTGTCCAGTCTATCTCAGTCTGCCCCAGTCTGTCTCGTCTGTCCCACTCTGTTTCAGTGTGTCCCAGTCTCTCAGTTTGTCCCACTCTGTCTCAGTCTGTCCCAGTCTGTCTCTATCTGTCCCACTCTGTCTCAGTCTGTCCCAGTCTGTCTCTATCTGTCCCACTCTGTCTCAGTCTGTCCCAGTCTCTCAGTCTGTCCCAGTCTTACCGTCAGAGCGGTGGATGCAGGTATGCTGGTTGTCGCTAAGGAAGAATCCCTCTGTGCACTGACACTCGTAGCTCCCCATGGTGTTGACACACACTTGCTGGCATCCACCGTTGTTGTCCAGACATTCGTCCACATCTGTTCAGATGACGAGAGACAGACAGAGAGATGAAGTCAGCCGTGTTGGATAAACAAAACAAACAAAACAAACATACGGTATGTCAGTGACAGTTTATGTGCCGGGAAATGTCAGGTGAGAGGATGACACCAGAGTCAGGAATGTGAGGGTCACACACACGCAAACACACACACACACACACAGAGCGGCAGACAGGGTGTCCTGACAGGAGTCTGATCCTGGCACCATAGGTGACTAAATCAAACACCAAGCGCTAGGTCGTAACGGGGGTGGTGAGTGTCTACAGAGTGTGTGAGTGTGTGCACGTACTGGTGCATGAATGCATTTATAGGCCCCACTGTGCCACTAAGAGGCCAGTAAACGTCCAATAGGACTGAAGTCAACTGGAAATATGTGACACCCTCCACTGACTTTAACAGGGATCATACAGATCTGCCCCTGTGTGCGTGTGTGTGTGTGTGTGTGTGTGTGTGTGTGTGTGTGTGTGTGTGTGTGTGTGTGTGTGTGTGTGTGTGACCAGGATGACTTTGCATTGTGTTTAGTCTGCAGTTCTGATGTTGATGTAGACAGACACACTGCTGAGACACATGGCTGATCTAAAACATCAGGTCTACTTCGCTGTCATCATGCTGGACATGATGTCCACTCTTAGCCTTGGCCTTGGCCTATATCCTCTTTTATCTAATGGTTGCATCAAGACACTGAAGTTTGGTTCAGGGATGTGTCAGGTAAACTGGGTAGGAATTGTAGAAAATTGTAAAAAATATCATCATCTGGAGGCATGTGCTCTGAATGGCAACACTCAAAGGAAGGGTGAGAAGCATGCCATCATGGGAGGGGTGGGGGATCACCTTGGTGTACCTGGCCTGTCATTTGAAAGCGACATTGGTTGGTTCTCAATGAGAAATTTAGTAAGAACTAAAAGTGCAAAGAGAACACAGATACAGATTTTCCTCTTCTATTTTTCCGCTCATCTGAAGAAACCTCCTCCCCATCCTGAGCCAAAACATAAAGCTCCAGCATCTTTCCACCTGTAGCACCTTTATACTAGAATCACCACCTCCTGGTTGTTTCCTCCACCAATCAGCCAAGTGTCAGGAAATATGGTCACCATCTTAAATAATAGCCAGAAGTGTTTCTGCAGAACATAATGATGTCACAGTGACCATGACCTTTGACCACCAAAATCTGAATGTTTGTGCCAAATTTGAAGGACTTCCCTCCAGGGGTTACTGAGATATCGTGTCCACGAGAATGAGACGTACAACCTGAGACATAACGCCTCTAGCTGTCGCTAGTGCAAAAGCATGAAAATCCTTGTCCTGCTCTAAATATGTCTCTGTCTCAGCCTCCATCTGTCTCTTTCTATCCCTCCATCCACATCTGTAGTCATCCATGGAGCCTTTTATTCCACCAATCATCAACATGTTACAGATGTATGTTGTCACCTCCTCATGGTTGTTTCCCTCCCCAACCAGCCAAATTACAGGTCACAATTTATCCTTCCTGAGTTACAGCATTAGTGTTTCTGCAGAGCATTATGATGTCAAAGTGAAGTTGACCTTTGACCTTTTTGGATATCAAATATCATCACTACATCATTTTATTTCATTACACATTTGTGTTCAATTGTGTCATAATTAGTGAATGAATTTGTGAGTTATGGCCAAAAACATGTTTTGTGAGGTCAAAGTGACTTTGACCTTTGACCTTTGACCACCAAAATCTAATCAGTTATATATAACTCTATAACAAAAGCTCACACATTACAAGTAGTGCCAATAGTAAGAAATGTAATACACCTCCTGTTTCCTAAGTGGGCGTGGTCACGATTGCTTGTTCATGTCAAAACATAACAACAATACATTACAACACTGGATACAGTTTGAATTTACAGCTGATTTTGCCGCTCGTTTTTATCTGCTGGCTTATATCTGATCAACCCAGTACAAGATCAGTCTATAAGTCTAATACTCTCTGTTTTCCCTCCAAAAGCACTTCAATAATAATAACAACAATAATGGTATTATTACACAATGAAACAAGTTTTATTTCAGTTTAAACTTTTAATTCATGGTTGCACGTATAGGTCCCTCTTAACCTCTGTTTATATGGTTGGAAAGCGATGTCGGCAGTAAACTAGATCAGAACCGACAGAGAGATCTGTGTGGTGAGATCTCATGAGAGTTTGTTGCTGAGACAGAGACAGGTCTCGAACAAAGTTAATTTCATCCAAATTTTTCTGAAAAATATAATTTCACCATCAGAATGTTTTGAAGATCTGTGGCTTGTGAAAAATGGATAATATGTTTATTTCGGTTAAAAAAAATCAAAATCAAAACCTGTGTTCACGTTCACTTCTCCTATATGAGTGAACTGACTCAGACCTGCTGCTGGTCTCTTACAGGGGCGGGGAGGTGGAGAAACCCATGTGATACACGGACAGGAAATGATTGTAAGTGCATTTGCTCCTTTCTCAACTGTCTCTGTTCTGGACTTCAGCATCATCTTCTCCCTGGTGGTAGAAAGGAGGAGGAGAGCAGGAGAGGAGGGTCTTTGTGCTCTTCATCTATGGTCAATTCATCTTCTCCTGTTTGCCTCACACTGCTCAGAGAGCCAGTGATACAGATGTACTGTCCACTGGATAACAAGCTCTAAAATTACACTCATTCTTTCAAGCTGTTCCTCTATCCTCATCTTTTCTCCTTCTGCTCAACTCATACATGAACTTAAGGACCTGAAAAAACCAAGAAGAAAACAGGCTCCAGCTCTAATGCTCCTACAGTCACCTAGCCTGACACTGAGTTGATCTGACAGGGAGGACAGAGAGAGAGGATGTGAACAGTGATGTTGCAGCAGCACCACACACACGACATCTGTGTTGGTGGAGGTATATAGCTGTATACAGCTGTTAGAGCTTCTGACAAACATTTGCCAACAGCTATATCTACTGTATCCGATCATTCCCTGAGGTCTGCCTCCGTACCACACTGATTCATTTGGGCTTCACATTGTGAATCTGCAGTCAGGGCTTCAGCCCGTCCTGATGGAAGTGCAGCTACAGCTACTGTTCCAAAGCCCCAGTGTTTCCAGACAGTATTGTGATTTGATTTAAGCACCATGATCCTAGTGATTTACACACATGACTCACACAACCAACCCACATCCAAGAAATGATAATTCACTTTACTATAATACACTTTCTAACTTTGCAGCCATGTTTGTGATCAATTCCAGGTAACTGCAGAGCTGCTGACCCATCCATTCCCGGATCAACCTGTACGCTGACTTCATTCATGCATCACATCCACAAACCTCCAGTCCATGTGTAAATACACTGGTGTGTTACTGCTGCAGAAGTCATGGAGTCCTCACTGAACTCTGGGTTTTTGTTTTTTTAATCGCACTTCCTCACACTGCTTTTTTAACAGATGTCATTAATATGACTGATGTATTTAATTTTCAAGCTGGAGGGGGAGAGAGACAGAGAGAAAGAGAGAGAGAGAGAGAGAGAGAGAGAGAGAGAAAGAGAGAGAGAGAGAGAGATGCAGCCATCTCCAAGTCCAATCAATCTCTGCCAACATTTCAGTGTAAAAGGCCACAAGGCTCTTTTGCAAGTTTCAACTGGAGCTCCTCTGTTTGATTGTTCTTCACCCACCCAGGATGCATCTGACAGGGGGGGCGGGGGTGAAGTGATCTCATCTTCTTGCCTCTCTCTCCCTGACTTTCCTGTCACTACTGTCACTGTCCCTATCACAATAAAGGTAACAACCTACCCATAAAATAACTTTAAAAAACTCATTTTAAGCTGGTTTTATCTGTTGACATGTTGGTGTACTTCAGGAAGCAATTTGAACTGAGACCATACAAGAAGTTAGCATTCACTACAGTTTGTACAAAAATAACTAAACAATCATGAACTGAGTGACATAAATCAAAAGCAATACAATTTAATTCCACTTTAAAAAATCAAGTGATTTACTTATGGAAATTTTCATTAAAGCTCCATATTTTCCTCTTCTTCTGTGTTTTATTTGAAGTGTTGATCCATAAGAAGATATATTTGTGGTTTTAAGAACCAAAAATATCTCATTGTAGTTTTAAATCTCTTCTCTCAGGCTTCTCTCTGGAGCTCTAGTAACAACTGGTCAGTGAGCCAATCATAAGAGAGGAGTCTCTGAGCCTCTCTTCTGACTGGCTCAAACAACACATGGACATCTACCTTTTATATGGAGGTGAACATTTTTCTAATGTAAGAGATGGGCGACCAATGCGCAGACCAAGTTGAGCTTCTACAGTCTGTCAGACAAATGAAGCAGGTATCAGTGTGTTACAGGCTGTTTAGTCAAGTTTAGTTAAGTTCCCTCTTTATGTTTCCTTTCTTAGTTGAAGTGGAAGCAACACAAACAGGAAACTTTATATTCAAAAAATGTATTGAAAAGTTTGAACTCAGACTTCATTGTGTCTCTGCTGAGAAACTGGAATTTTGAACTGAAATCACAAACTTTGGAAGATAGACTCATCATTCATCTAATTCAGAAGCTTCATATTAACTTAGATAAACATTGGGAGGACTGTGGATTTCGTCCCCCATCACTTACATCTGTCTCACTGTTCATACAGACATGACAGACTGTGAACCATCTTTTAATTTGTCTAACTGAGACTGTTGACGTCTCCTATTAGTTTCAGATGAATTCTTCTTTTAAGGGAACACGGGCTGTAGACCCTGTCTCCATCTCTAACATTAGTAAGGACAAGAGGAACAATCAGCAACCAGGCACTGTTGTGATGTACATACGGACATAAAAGACTTGAAAAACTGAACCCTGCCTTTGATATTGTTTGTGCTTTTTTTTGTATTTTCACACCTTTCAGGTTCAGTAATGGTGAAATCTGGCACATGGTGATGTTGATGGACGATGATGAGTGATGTTGGTGGAGGTATTTCAATTACTTAAATTTTACACATTGTTGTGTGTCCCTGTACTATGTAAGA